GAACTCAAAACCTCGATTAAAAATGCAAAAAATAACCCTGAAGGTCTTATTCAACAACGATCAGTTTAGAAGTTGCGTAAAGACCAACGGATGAACATAGACTATCAATCAATGAGCCTTTGTTAAACACCTTCTATATACCAGGCACTGTGCAAGGCTCTTGGGCTAAAGAAATGAAAAGGGAGACATGCAAAAATGCAAAGTAATAGAAGGTAGGGAATGAGTTAACTAGAGAGGGCAGGAAAAGTGATGTATGAACTGAGCCTTGAAGGAAGCTGGGTATTTTATTTATATACACATATACATATACATGTATAATATGCAATATAACTATAATTATGTATACTACAATATTATATAGAATATAATTGTATATACTATCTTTTTACATTTAAATATAACAATTATGATATCTATCTTTTGGTCTATCTATCTTGTTTGTGCATAATTGTTTGCATGTTGTCTCTCCCATTAGACTGTGGACTCCTTGAGAGCAGTGACTGTGGGGGTGGGATGGGGATACATGTATATACATATGTGCATGCAAATGGTAAACACATAGGGCCTATGTATATATGTGTATATGTATGTATTGGTTCTATATATACCCATATATACTATATATGTATATGTATATGTATGTGTATATGTATATGTATATGTATATGTATATGTATATAGTATATATGTGTATATGTATGTATTGGTTCTATATATACCCATATATACTATATACATATACATATACATATACATATACATATACATATACATATACATATACATATACACATACATATACATATACATATACATATACATATACATATACACATTTTATATAAATATATGTGTGTGTGATATATATCTCATATATATGTGTACACATACATATCTCCATCTCTATCTATCCAAGGTAATTTGTAGATGAGCAACAGAAGGAAGACACTAATATTAAGGGAATGTCTTTTTGATTTGACTTTACTTGCTTTCAGTGGACTGAAGCGTTAGTATATAACACTTATGAGAATGAAGAAATAGAACATATTCTGTGAGTTGAGGCACACTGGGAACAGTGTCAGGGGAAGAAGAGAAGAACATTGCATTTTTCTCATAAAGATAATAGCTTGTAAGATTTCTGCAACAATCAAGGACTTTCGGCCTTCCTTCTCCAGCCTCCTACTGGGTCGGCTGCAGGCCTCCTGGGAATGCCCAAGTATGGTTTATATTACCTAATAAGTTTTAGATTGCCTCTGGTCTCATTAGTACTGCATCTCTCCCATTATACCATATATTAATGACTTGACTCTCAGTTGGTCTGGATTCTCTGGAGAACATCTGTTCTGTGGAAGTCAGCCTTCATAAAGCACAATGGTAAGTCATTCTATGCAGTCTGTTTAGTCATAAGGTGTCATTTGTGTTTATTTCTTTGTGTAGAAAATCATTTTGGCCTTTGTGGCCTTTCTGTGTTTTTTCTCCTCTGTCACAGAAGAGGATTTTAGATAGTAAGTTCAATGGGAGTCAGCATAGGAACATGACAGCTGGAGTTGATGCAGGAGACCTGAGTTCAAATTCTCGGTATTATGCCATAGGCAAGTCACCAGACTCTCTGAGCCTTAGTTTCCTCACATATAAAATGGGAATTTTAATACTTGCATCACCTACTTTGCCAAGTTGTTGTGAAGAAAGGACTTCACAGACATCAAAGAGAAACATAAATATGATAACTTGATGTTGTTGTTGATGCTGTTATTAATAAAGAGGAAAATTTGGGGGCAGCTAGGTGGCACAGGGGATAGAGCACCAGCCCTGGAATCAGGAGGACCTGAGTTCAAATCCAGCCTCAGACACACAACACTCACTAGCTGTGTGACTCTGGGCAAGTCACTTGACCCCAGTTGCCCTCACAAAAAAAAAATATATAAAAGAGGGGAATTTAATGTGAGGATGTTTTAATAAAATCACAAGGTTCAAAACAAGAGAAACTGTGTGACTTTGGAGAAGATTATCTTACTTTTCCACTTTACTTGAGGCAAAACTTCCAGGAATAAGGGAGTGACAATCCCAATATTTTCCATGTTGTTTGGACCACATCTTGGAGTTCAGGCCTGGATGCCACAGTTTATGAAGGAGTTGAAATGCTTAAGTATATGAAGGGGAGTGGAGCAAGATAGGGAGGGAATTGAAAATAACAGGATTTTCAACAAGCAAAGAGAAAGCATAGTAGAGGAACATGGTGGTTATCTTCAAGTATCTGAATAGCTGTCATATGAAAAGGGATTAGATTTGGACCCAGAAGGCAGAACTAGAAGCAATGCATACAAACTGTGGAAAGAAGGATTTATGCCTTAAGCAAGAAAGATGTAATAGCAGGGAAAGCTCTTCAGAAGAAGGGTGGGCTTTCTTATGAGAGAGGGAGTTTCTCATAACTGGAGGTCTTCAGGTTTCTGTTCACATAAAAGTTAGACTGGGCATCACAAGCAGCAGGTTCTCAACTTATCTCTATTATACTTGGTGGCTTATGAGAAGTCCTTTAACCATTATAATCTCAGCTTCATGACTTGTAAAATGGAGATAATGTTCACTTCTGTGAATCTGTCTTGGGGATTTAAAGCATGTGAAACATGTTTTTGGAAAGTAAAGCCAAGCCACTTCCCCTTCACTCCTCTACCCACCTGGAATACTCTCAGGGTCTTTATGGAAGAAAAGCTAAATGAAAAAGGTGAGGAACACTGGGTTATTGATAAAGATTCTATTTTATAGGCAGGCCATTATAAAGGATTTTGTTGTTCAGTCATTTTAAACGTGTCCAACTCTTCATGACCCCATTTGGTGTTTTCTCCCTAAAGATACTGGAGTAGTTTGCCATTTCCTTCTTGAGTTCCTTTTATAGATGAGGAAACTGAGGTAAATGGGGTGAGTGACTTACCCAGGGTCACACAGCTAGTAAGTGTCTGAAGCCAAATATGAATTTAGGTCTTCCTGAATATAACCCCCATGAAGAAGTAGAGAAGTAAATCCCATGGAACTGAGATGGATATTATATTGCTGTAAGGCTTAAAATGAGCTAATTATTATAAAACTGCTGCTTGCCATGTCTTGGTCCAACTATATCTAAAATAGAAGTTCTTCATATCTTTTGTCTCATGGATTTTGTTGGCAGTCTGGTGAAGCCTTCAGAACTCTTCTCAAAATAACATTCTTAAAGGAACAAAATGAAATACACATGACTATAAAAGAAATCAATGATATTAAGATAGAGTTATAAACACGTTTTTAAAAACAAATCCATGACCCCCCAGGTTAAAAATCCTCGACCTTGAGTATTATGCTCAGTGCTAGGTGCCACATCAGGACGGATATATAGATCAGCTCGAGAAGCAGCATGGTGACATGATTAAAGAGATAGACATCTACTTGTAGCACTTCTTAGACTATTTGGCCTCAAACCCTTACTAGTTGTGTGACCCCCGGCAAGTCATTTCACCCCATTTCCCTCAGTTTCCTCATCTATAAAATGGGACATGCCATTTTCTCCTTGAATGTTAGACTATTGGCTTCATGACAATTCAGACAACCATCAAAATAATAAAACTCAAAACAATATTGATTTATACTCCTAAGAGTTTTTACCTCAAAGAGAAAAATATCACTAATCACAGCTGAGGGCTTGAATATTATTAGTTTTCTTGTGTTTCCTTAACAGTTACATTTCATTCATCCTTCACTTATAAATTGAAAATAACATTCTCAAGTTCTTTAAATTATGCACATAGTGAAAACATGATAGTTGACTGAAAACACACTTGGCAATAATAGACTTAAGATTCAAAGATCCTATCTTAAAATTCTTGAATCCAAAGTCCACCATTATCAAGTTGGATCAAAAATGTAACTTCATTACAGACTATTCAGATAAAATTAGTAATTATGCATAAAAACTCACTCTTCATTATAACAGACTTTGAAAACTGACCCCTTTTGACAAAGAGTGGGAAAGGGCATGCTATTTTCTTAGTTGTAGGTTTTCAAATTTTAGTACTTTAGAATTTTATAACATGCATTCAGAAAGGCTCAAAGGTAGCTATGAACCAGACTAAATACAAAGTCTCAAGGGACCTCTCAGATAAGAATATCTTGAAAGGTCTATGCAACTTTCTCTCTGGCACTATTATTCATTATTATTATTTTCTACTGTAAAATAAAATATGTCCTGTTAAATATTTCAGTTTTCAAATATCTATTTTTAAATCACATTCTGTAACAGCTCAATTTGTAATCTATCAGCATCAGATTAAAAGAGAATTTGTCTAACAACATTTCTGACAACAACAATTCTGAGAAATTCTCAAATTTCACAATATAAGAAAAATTTTAGAAACAATAATTATATATTTCAAACATGAAACTAAACATTCTTAGATGACATCAATTCAGTCAAAAGGACTTCCAATTGTCTTACATAAAAAATCATTCAAATTATCACCTTTGGCATTTTTATTGATCACTGCTGAAACCCACTATAGAGTTATCTAGTATACAGCAATTACATTCAATTAAAGAAATAATAATAAGAATAGCCAACATTTATATAGTGCTTACCATATGCCAGGTACTGTGTTAAGTGCTTCACAATCATTATGTCATTTAATCCTCACAATAACCCTGGGAGGTCAATACTAATACTATCCCCTCTACAAATTAGGAAACAGAGGCAAACAGAGGTAAAATTACTTGCTTAACATCAAATGTTAATAAATTTCTGAAAGCAGGGTGTAACTCAGGTTTCCCTGATCCATTCATTTTTCCAACTTTTTTTTTTTGCATTTGATGCCACAATTAATAGAACACATTTCACCATATTGTAAGTTAGGTACCAAACAAATTTCAACCAAATCAATTCTTAACTTCCTACCATCAAATCAAAATTTCCGTTTTTTAAAATTTCTTTTCTAATCACCCCAAAAGCAAAATCAATTCCTTTTATGTTCACAACATACCCTCATCCTCTCCACTTTCTCTAAGGCATTTCACTGTGAATTCCAGAGAAAGGTCAGGAAAGGCTCCAAGTAGTAGCCTTGCATTTTCATCCTCTGGTATTATAGCTTGAGAGGTTTCAAAAGATTGGGAAACATTCTTAGAATGGTCTTTCAGGGGCAGAGTATCACATTTTTTAATCATATCCCAAATTATTCAAATAACTGATCTTCATTTGTATTTCTCTTTTGTAATTTAGCACAAAATATTTAACAATATCAATTCATTGTAACACTGTTACATTTCTGGGTTTCTAAGAGCTCAAAAATGCATGGTTTCTTTCTAATATTCTCCTGTGATCTTGCCTGTAATTTACTTAAACAATTAATTGTGTTATAAAAGTTTTTGAAAAGTCTACTTAAGAGTTCTCCAAAGTCATTCCTACTTTCTGGGCACATCACCCTGCCACTTTCCCTCATTGTGAATGTCTATCTCTATTATTCATAATAGGGAGTGGGACCAGACAACATTGGGGATTGAGTAGGGGGGTTCTACATGGCTCAGGGTGGGGCAGCTTATGGGCAGCTCTTCATTATAAATTGCCTTTTCCAAGCCTTCATTAAATTTCATTTATTTTTAAGTCCCTTCCTGATCTGAACAAGTTTTCCTCTTTTCATGGTCACCGAAGGGTTAAGTACCAGATTACATTTAAACCGCTTACAGCAGATTCATTTTTTCCCTTTTTCTCTAATCAGCAAAACTAATAAATAAAGTTTTCCTTTATTCCACAAAAACAATAGCTCTCAATCTCCAGGGGAAGGATAATAAGTAGCTATAACTTTCACTTTCCAGCTCTTATTCTTTTCTTTCCTTAAAACAAATTCTATGGAGTAGTACACAAAAACTCACTAAGACATTTCAGCATTTGTTACACTTCTGTTAAGTCACTTCTCAGGTAGGACAAAGAGAAAGAGGGTGAGTTCCTTATTTAGTACTTGTCTCAAATCTATTTATTCCAATGGAATCACTTCATTTCAGACCTCTTTCCCAACTCCAAATCCTTCCCTCCATAAAGGGGAGAGAGGTAGTTAAGCTTAATCTGCAAGCCTTCAAAATGTACTAAGGTGTATTTAGCAGCATCCATAATTTGTAAATTTACACTAAAGATATTCCTTAAGGTTATAACTTCCATCTCTAATTTATAATGCTACAAATTTCTTCAAATCAGGAAAAAGCTTTTCTTTCTTTGATTATCTAATTTTAATTTCTGTAACCCCAACCTGGCTAGGGCTGAACTGACAGAGAGAAACTATCTTGCAGGGTTTTTTTTTCTTTTCAACTTAATCTCCTGCTAAAAGCTCACAGTGGGAATTAGTCCTGCTTACTTGGACAGAGAGGTTAGCACCAAATTACAGAAAGCTGGGAGAACTGCTTCAAGTATGAAACTATGAAACTTCATTAATTGTTGTACCTAATCTTTCTAAACTCTTTGGCTGCTCCTTTGTACAGCAGTCTTTATGGCTAGCTGCCTTTTCTCCTTACAATTTTTTCAAGGTAGCAGAATCTATAAAAAATATTAAACATGACCCAAGACAAAGAATTTTTTCTGAGCATTTTACAAAGAAACGAAAATGTAGACAAAACAGTAAGAGAAATATACATACTTGCTAGCCTCCTTATCTCCTACTGAAATTCTAATCTGAAAGCCTTTAATTTGTTGTAAGCAAAAGTCCCTTCATCAAGCCAAATTTGGGGTCCATTTGAATGACATGTTTTAGAATAATCTGAATTTCTTTGGAGTCTGTTTTAAGCATGCTCTTCCCTTGATCCCAGAATAAAGGAAAATTTTCTAGTAGGGTTCCCATTGGGATGCTACTCCCAGATCTTATAATTTCTCCAAGGAAACTTCCTCAATAGTGGAGAGGTTTAACCTAGCTTATTTCACTAAGGGGACATCTACATTGAGGAAGCTTACCTTAACTTATTGCCTTAAAGGGGCTTCCCTTAGAGGGGCTTCCTTGCCCCAACAACATGAGGGCTTACCTTTACTCAGAAAGAAATTGAGATTGAGAGGAGTCCAAGCTCCTGGGGCAGTGAAGAAATCCCTCAGAGAAATGTCCAGAGAACTCAAGGCAGTTCTTTATAAAGGCTTCCCTTTGGAGTCCTTACTCACCCTGGTTGTCTTTGCCAAAACTTGTGATGGGTGAAATCTGAACTAACCAAGGAAACAAAAGTTCAAGCTTCCAAGCATATCAATTTATTAAGCAATGCATGCCAATTATATAACAATTTGGGATCAGGCCTCCTCAGCTTGGCACTAGACACCAAATACGGGGAAAGATAAATTTTTATGCCTTAAAAGTGAACTATTAACAGGATATTAATGAGGACACAAGATTCGGCAATCTGATTTCTAATTGGAAGAAAGATTAGGGACTTGAATGAGCAGGTAGACTTTCCAGGATGTGAAACAGTATGTCACTCAATTCCTGACTAGCAAGCAGGTGGAATTTATGGGGAAATTGAAACTTAAGTCTCAAAATGGAGTCAATTTTACAAAACGGAGTCAGTTTGGTTCAGACATTTCCCCCAGTTCTCCCATTACATAGCCACCAAGCTAGATACCATAAAGAATAGCCACAATATAAGAAGAGGAAAATCAGAGGCATCCAGAAATTCAGAAGAGACCAAAACAAAAAAAGAACCAGTTATTACTGGTTATTGTTATGTGTTACATTATGTGTTAATACACACATGGCCTCAGAAGGACACAAGATGGATACAAGATTGGGCAATCTGATTTCTAGTTAGAAAAAAGATTAGAGACTTTCTGAGTTGGGAGGAGGTCTAGGGAGTTTGAGGAATTGAGAGGAGGAAGAATGAGCAGGTGGATGTTCCAGAAAGTGAAACAGTATGTCACTCCATTCCTGATTAGAACGCAGATGGAATTTATGCGAAAATTGAAACTTAAGTCTCAAAATGGAGTCAATTTTACAAGATGGAGTCAGTTTGGTTCAGACAATTTCCACAGCTCTACCAGTACATATCCACCAAGCTACATACCAAAGAGTAGTCATAATATAGGAGAAAAATGAGAGGCACCCAGAAATTCACAAGAGGCAAAAACAAGAACTAGTTATAAAACATATGGCCTCAGATGGATACAAATGCACAATGTACGAGTAATAAGCAAGGTGACTAAGATCCTAATTCAATAATTTCCATATTAGTCATGTTATGAAAGAAACACAGGCCCAATAGGAAAAACACATGCACACAAAGTGAAAAACAGTATGCTTGGCTCTTGAGACTCCCTCAGTTCTTCTCTGGAAGTGGACAGCATTTTTCATCTTGAGCACTTTAGAACTGTCTTGGATCATTGTATTGCTGAGAATAGCTAAATCATTCACAGTTGATCACTGTACAGTATTTCTTTTACTGTGTGCAATGTTCTGGTTCTGCTCACTTTTCTTTGCATCAATTTATGTAAGTCTTTACAGGGTTTCTTCTGTTAAATTAGTCTATTTATCATTTCTTATAGCACAATAGTATTTCATTACAATCATATACCACAACTTGTTCAGTCATTCCCCAAGTGATGGGCATTTAACATTCTTTTTTTTTTTTTGCTTTTTGGTGAGGTAATCAGAGTTAAGTGACTTGCTCAGGGACATGCAGTAATATTCATCTTTTAAAATTTTTGAATTTTGAATTCTCTCCCTCTCTCCTGTTCCTGTGATACTCATTAAGAATCCAGGTAATATGATATCAGTTATAAATGTGAAATCATGCAACACATATTCCTATAATAACCATGCTACAAAAGAGCAAGAAAATTTTTAAAAAATGAAAAATTATGCTTCAATCTATACTCAGAGTTCATTAGTTCTTTTCTGAATATGGAAAACATTTTTCATCATAAGGCTTCAGGAATTGTTCTGCATCATTGTATTAATCAGCTAAGCCATTCATAGTTGAACTATAAAACTTTTAAAAAAGCTCTGGGAATTCTCCCTCCCCATCTTTCTTCATTTTTTTTCTTTTTGAAAATAGAAGACTATCCTAGATATTCTCCTTACCTATTTCCCCTCCAAATGAATTTGTCCTGCTTACAAGAATTCTTAGCCTTGTGCCTGGATTAAAAATGGTGGCATAGAATGGGACATTGTTGTCCTTCAAGAAATGACTAATAAGAGATCAGAGAAACCTGGCAAGACCTGTATGAATTGATGCAGAGTGAAGAAAACAGGCTTAGGGAAACAATGTACAAAATGAGTAGAGAGATACCAATGTAAAGGAAAAAAGATCTAAAAGCTTTTGAATTCAGATGAAATGTAACAACTAATTTTGGTTCCTGAGAAGAGAGAACAAAATACATTTTTTCTCCTCTTGTCAGAAAGGTGGATGACTATGGATGCAGAATATTGTATACAAGTCATTCAGTGGATACCTAGCATCAGGGTGATAAGAGTTTGAACCATACCTCATCCATTAACCCTGTGACCCTGAGTAAGCCAGACTCTGACTTTCATTTCCTCATCTGCTAAATGAGGGTGCTAGACTTAATGACCTCTAAGTTCCTTTTTCAGCTCTAAATCTATGACCCTGGGAACCTATGAGACATAATTGTTTAACTGTGTTGGCTGGTTTTGCTTGACTATTTTATATAATGATTGCACTATTCCAATATTCTCTCATTTGATTCTCACAACAACCCTGGAAGGCTATCACTGTCCCTGTTTTACAGATGAGGAAGTTGAGGCTGACAGACTAAGTGACTGGCCAAGGGCCACACAGTTAGTGTCTGAGGCCAGATTTGAACTCAAGTCTTCCTGACTCCATGCTCAATTTTCTATCCACTGAATGCCCTTGTTTAGATTTTGTTTTTTATAAAGGAAGGGTCCATTGCCAGAAAAATGGACTGTATATTGGGAAGTTACTGTGGAAGGCAGCTATAAAACTTAGGGGAAAAAAACTCTAGCCATTCTCCCTTCCTATCTACATTTTATCCTTATCTTTTCTAATTTAAAAAAATAAAATACTATGCTAAGGGTTCTTCTTGTGTGGGCAATCTTTGTGGCATTATGTGATGTTAAGTGGTACATGATGCCCTTGGAGTT